CTCTGTTTTATTCTCTTTCCTCTGAACTATAATTATCAGCTGAATCTTCAGAGTTTTATAATTATTGCTCCATGCTGTTGTCTTTTAAGTCAACTAGGAGGAGAAAATAATTACAAACAAAAATACATTATAATCTCTTCTCTATTTGCATACATAGTTACCTTTACTGATGTTCTTTATTTCTATGTGTGGACTTGAGTTATCTCCTTTTGATCGTGCCTTTACAACTTTATGTCTATTTCGTCACACTAGATGGACTTGTCATCACCTAATATTAATTGGGTAATCTTAAAAGAGTGTTGAAGAATAACCCATGGACACAGACAATAGTGTGGTGAAGGCCTGGGGTAGGGGGTGGGTACCGGGTAGAAGGGGTCAATGGGGAAAAAAAGGGGACATCTGTAATTCTTCCAACAATAAAGATAAATTTTTAAAAAAGAAAAAAAGAATAAAGGGAAGTAGAAGAGATTGATAAAAAAAATTAAGAAGGGAAGGTCTTTCAAAATGGAAGTGAACTTGCAATGTTGAAATTTCGTTTCAGACTCAGATATGTATCCTAGTCCATCTCCATTTCCACACACAGTACCAGACACACAGTAGGTGCTTAATAAACGTTTATGGAATAAATTAACACAAGTCCACATGTTGATTAAGATCAAAATGTTAAAATATATGAGAGCTAGAACTGGAAAGAATGTTGACAGGCACACAGGGCCAAGTAAACCAAGATTAAGCAGGTATTTAAAAAGAGGAATTTTAGAAAAGAGTCTGCAGAATTTCAAGACTAAGTGAGTTCTCTGAGTCACACTGTCAGAGAGAGAATTTAAGCCATCGATTACAGCAAAGCATTGGATAATTCTTTTAATGGGGCTTAAAGATCTTGAGAAAGTTAGACAAGGACACACACTTAGCTCACTAATAATCTTACACTTATTAATTCCAAAGTATGTAACAGAGTCGATGCATCTTTGTGATATGAGCAAATAGGAAAGTTCTCCATGGATGGCTCACTTGATTTAGCCTATGGCACTCCATGCCTTGCAACTCTGTTTATACACATTAACAGTTGGAAACTGAGAACGGTTCAAGCAAAATTCTATATAATCACCCGTTTGGGGTTAATTTACTTTATTGTGGATGCTAAAGTGAACTCAGCTGAACTTGCCACTTGCTATTCTGATATGCTTTGTAAATTTTAGTTTCGCAGCCCAGGCATTTTACTGCAAATTTTCTGAATCATGTGGCTTGTACTAACCAGGACAATCCATCCAAAGAATGTGGATTATTTCTAAACTTGTAATACAATTTTGAACTTATTTTAGAGTTTGAGAAATGGAGAACTATAAGCTTAAACAACAAAGAAATAAATTGGTTGGGGTTTGGTAGTTATCCAATAATTCAACAGACATTCTTGGAATACTTTCTACATGTGAGGTACCATGTTCATTGCTGGGGTTGCAATTATAAACAAGACAGATTCAGGTACCTGCAAATCATTTTAAAGTTATGTCAATCTGTAAATAAGTGAATAAAACATAAACATCTATTGTATGTAATGCATCCTAACCAGTAAAAATATAGAACTAGGACCAGGCCGGTGTGTCTCGGCAGTTGGGCATTGACCTATGATCCGAGAGACCGAGTCAATAAAAATATATTAAAATATATATATATATATATATATATT